TTTTGCAGATATTTCATTCAGTACACTGAAGATGTTACCTAGTTAGATAATGAAATGTCTGCAAGAAAACCGCCAAGCTCAGAGAGTACCAAGGACCCCAAAGCATGACCTGTAGAATTGGTTCTCTGATTAGGGAGAGATGCCTGGGATGGTCAATGCTATATCTAGATGTAGATTTAGATTAAAAAATGTCTGGGCCAAAAGGCAGGTTTTAAGTTCTGTCTTCTATTATAATAAACATTAGTTCTGCCTCAATTCCAATGGCAATGTTTCCACAAGTAAAGACTCTATCTGCAAATAAACAGATCTTCCTACACATGTTAGACATATCCCTGACAGAACCTGGATAAAATGGATTGTTTGGGAGGAAACAGTCCTGAGTTTAAACCAGTTAAAATTTGCACATGAAAGTGAGCATCTTGAATTTGACTCAGAAAGCAACCTGCAGTCTGTATGGCTGTGTCAACACTGGGACGACTCTGAGAGATATTATTCACCAATTATGCCACTGTTTTCTGAGTCAGCTACAATTTCTGTGTCATTTTCCAGTGCCACTTTATGAAGAGCACATTGCAGTAATCCAACCTTGATTGTGTCTCTCCTCCACGAAAGGTCACAACTGATTTACTAGCTCAGTTGGATAACAGGCTACCTTGCCATTGATTTTACATGGTTGTCTATGTCAAAGCTAGATCCAAGGAAGAGCCTTAGTCAATGAATTTGTGCCTGAAGGGGGGGAATGCAGCCACATCCAAGATAAGTTACCAAATGGAATGTTCAAATGCGGAGCTCCCAGAATCAAAATAATTATCTCTTGTCTGAATTCAGCATCAGCGTATTCTCTTCTTACCTTTAATCAACGTCTAAAAGCATTTGGAGGTTTTTAAAAAGTCTAACCCTTGCAGCATTCCTCTCTACTGAAGGTCAGAGTTATGTATTTTAACCTGCTGCCTATACTATTTAAGCTTATTTGCTGATCTTGGCTGAGATGGAGAACAGTTCTCCATCATCTATGCTGAAATAAAATGTGGTTTTTACTGACCAGTTTCTATAAGTGGAATTTGGGTGGATAATGAGGAAACAATGTAATATCCTGCTACTGAACAGCTACTACAAATACCCTAAGCTAACCCTGGTTGCTTAATATTTCTATTAGATAAGATCCTTGGAATAACATGAGACATGATGTTATTAATAGGAGCTATCCCATCATTTGAAAAAAAGTCCCTTGATTTTTGGCTACAAGCAACAAATTTTGCTCTACACAAAATCTGGCTTCAAATATCATGTTAAACAAATGACCCATAGTTTATTAAATAAATCACAATAGCTTAATTCAACAATAAACAAATTCACAGTCACTGAATTCACATGATACGTTAAGCCAAAACCAAATAAACCACTTAGCATGATGTATAGTATTAATCCAGAAATATTCTGCGTTCTGCAGCTTAAGTCAGAATCATCAATAGAAGGCACAACTTCTGGGATGTCTGAAGGTATCTTTTTAGTCTTTATTCCAGTGAAGGTCCAGAATTAAAATAATCACAGAATCTCAGACAGAAGGACATCAAGACTCTAGATACATTCCTCAAATGTCTTACAAGTTTAAAAAAAGGACCTAATCCTCCATCAGCATTATACATAGAACATTATTCCTCTTGTTAAAATGGAAAATAATGATTAAAATGTAGCAGTGATGTAAATATCTTCATTAAAGAGAAAGTAGTATAGTATAGAGCATCGTCACTGGGATGTTCAAAAGTATTGCAAATATGAACTCTCTATGTTGCCAAGTTGAGCCATCTGGCAATGATCTGCTCTGTAAGAATGTGGCTGTAATATATTAGGTACTTGAAACATATCAGGTACAGATTCTAAAACTCCAATCATGAATAATCTAATATAGCACTCAAAGAAACTATAGCTGTGCTGTAAATGTAACAAGCCTCAGTCTTATCTCTAGCCAAATATTCTTTCCTAACAACAGAAGAATGGCAAGAGTTAATTATAATAATGATGAATTGTATTATTATAAGCCCTATCATCTGGAAAGTGGTCTAACATATGAAATATGACTTCTTCCTATACTTTCTCACTGTCGGCTTTGTTACACTACTATATAAATAACTAATATATTTTGACACAGGAATTTCTTATAAACATAATTTCAACGGAAAATTCTTAGGTAGGCCCCCATGACTTCCAGTCTTTCATAGCCTGTTTTAAAATTATCGTATCTTTTGCTAAATTGGAGGTAGCACTAATAAACCACTAACAATAGAATGGCATTTCCCCTCTCATCTGGAAAGTTTCCGATATTAAGGTTTTAATTCAGATGTTATAGAGATGTTATATTGCACCATTTCTTTATGGCAGGGCAATTTCAAAAGGAAATCATTTTTTTAAAAATAAAATTAACTACCAGTCTCCTCAGCAAATTGAAGAATATTTGGCGCGGATAATTAACTTGCGTTTCAGAGATGACTAATTCTTAAATGTTTTCTTACATTATATAAAATAAAAGGGCACTGAGATTTCTCTCACACTTTGTGTGAAGTCAGCATATTGGGGAGGAGAATATTGGACTTGCAAAACAAGCATTCAGACCCTACATTACAAGCCACTGAAATGAGAATCACTTCATAAGGGCAATTCTGCATTAATTTATCTGGGAAGCCCCCTTGACTGCACAAGGGTTCCTTCTAAATGAGCACACTTTATAATGCTTTTCATCTTCTTCATTTGTGAAAACACCATGCATTTGTATCAAATTCACTGAGTTATAACTCAAGGGGGAAAAAAGCACTTGTACTATCTCTAGCTTGCATTATGCCAACTTTAGATTGTACTCCACCCCCTTTCTCTCTGAAGAGATACAACATAACTTAATTTTGTATTCTGTGTTATGTAAACAGTTATACTCTAAGGATAAAAATGGAATTACATAGCAGAGATCTGTGATCAGGATCTTCCGCTCTTGAAAATATTGAAAATCTTTGGTGAGGACTTCTAGGAGCTGCAGTCCCGACACATCTAGAGAATGCCAGGTTAGAGAAGGTACAGGAAATCAAAATTTGACACTTATTTCATCCAGACTGAATTTGATTAAAGAATTATGGGAAAAAAAACCATAACTGCACTGTGGACATTGTGAAACTGAATGCAAAATGAAATCCAAAATTATTTGACTGAGACCAGTCCTAAATTTTGCAAACAGACAAATCATCATCTTGAGCAGACATCACAATAAACTGCATTATTTTTTATCTTTTCTATCATGACATGGCTATGGACAAATGCTTCCGAGTTCTGATCAGTTTCTTCTATGAATCTTCATGCTAGTAATCATTAGAAAATTCATCCTCTAATTAGAACATATCATTAAACCATCTCTATTAAACCTTCTCTGAGAATCTAGCCCCATGTTATTTTCTTCTACATAAATACCATAGTAGTATACTATACTATTTATTTTACATAAATATACCATAGTAGTACACTATATATAATATATGCTATATAATAAGTATAAGAGAATAATATAATAAGTATAATAATAGTATACTGTAGAATAATAGCTTTTTTGGCATTAATATTTACAACATTGTAATGTCCAATGAAAAGAAATTTTCTGGGGTCATACTGCATCCTTTAGTTTTTGAAACAGCTTTAGCCTCATTGGGGGAAAAATGGAATTGACATAATAGACATTGGGAGGTATTTTTATTCATACAAACAAATGAAACATATTCATGGAAAATCTATACACTTCAGTTCTGAATTGGGAGCTTTAAAAATAATGATTTGTCTATGTCACTTGTAACTTTGTAGAATTCCACACCTTTTACCTATTTAATAAGAAATGAAACTTGAGGTTGTTCAACTTCTCTGAAAGGAAATGTTATCTTAAGTAAAAAAAATAGTCAAAGATACATGGGTATTTCTTTTTCTACAATAAACTTAGGATCACAACTTATTTTTAGATTCAATACTTTAGTGTAAAGAACATGGAGAATAAGAAACAGTAGCTGTCAATTTACACCAGAATCTCAAACTTTGTTGTGCTTATTCTTTGATAAATACAAATTAGTTCCTTATATATCTAAGGATAAAATTCATTACTATTTTGTAAAAATAAAAATAAAAATACAACCACTTTTCTGCCTCATATGAAAGTGTCCCAAAAAAGAATTTTAAACAAACCAAAGCTAAAATTTCAAAGATAATGTCTTATATTCATTCTAAAATGAAAAGATATAAAACAATGAGTGAATTTTATATAAAAGAAAAGTTTTTGATTTGTTATCCAGAGGGAAAAAAAAGAAGATTTAGGATTCAATTCTAAAATATACTAAATTCCTTTTGAATTGCTTATTCTTTTTTTTTTTAAGAAAAAGAAACAGCTTTGCAAAGGAAAAGTGGGAAGGGGAAGGTTTAAACCTCTCTGACTTCAGTATTCTTGGTTAGCAGCTTTCAGTTGTTTACAATAGCATAAAGAAAAAAAGAGGATTTGTATATGGTTTATATATCATGTGATTTATTTTTGGCTCAAACTAAGCAGTGAACAAAACAACATATTAAAAAAGCTGTATTTATCTAATCTGGTCAAAGAGTTGGACGTTCAGTCTTGGAAGTTCAAGTAGAAATCCATCCAGGCACTTGTTATGGTTCACACATACTGTTGAACCATAGCTTGTTTTGATAATGGTTCCCTAATAAGGTAAAGTGTTTGATTCACATTAAGCTATAAGTCATGATTTAAAAACCACAATGGCTGGCTCTTACAACTTATTAAGCCAAAAGCAAGCCAACTGCATTATGATTTAACACAATCTATGATTCAAGTCAAGGTATTTAATACCAAGTATGTATTTCATAGCCATTGCTTCTTAAAATGTAAATTACTTGTAGTGGTCCTGAGAATAAAAGTTAGATAAAGATTTGGAAGGGCATTCTAGACAACAGCTCAATACAATTAAATCAAATGCCTTACCCACCTTCAGTATGCACAGCAGAGACATATGTCCAGTTGTAACGTTTGACGATGTCAAGCATGGCTCTAGCTTGCAGGATATCAGATGGAACCACCCTCAAGAAATATTTGTACAAAGTTTTGTCACTCAGGTCAATACTGGTTGCAGAATAAGCAATCTGAGGAATATCAAAAAGTTGAAGCAGATTTTGCACTTGGATGGCTACAGAACTCGAACCTGGACCAATGACACCAGCAATGGGTTTTTTAGCCCTGATATTGGGGTGATATAAAGGATCTGGCAGGCAACGACCCAGGGCATCTTTTTCATCTCGGATAGAGATCAAAGAATCCCTTATGAATTCAATACTCTGTTCCAAGGCTACTGAAGAATGCCAGCAGGAATCTCGAATTTCACTGCCTAGAGTGATGTTGGGCAGCAGAAATGGATCTGCATTTATCTTATCCAAAGTGTGAAACATGGCCTCAACTCTCTGGATGCCATATTGTTCTCGAATCTCACCACACTTCCTTTCTGGTACCTTCTCAGCCTGGGGTTGGTGATGGACTGAAAAGAGGGCTCCTATAATGACATCCCCATCCATTCTGGCTACTGATCTCTGGGAAGAAGCGGCTGAAATCAAAACCTTTCTGCCAGTATTCCTGGGAAGAAAGTCCATCTCCAAGAGGATAGCAGGAAAAAAGACAAGCAGGACCCCTATCATCTTGTTGCAGGAGACCATCCAGATCCAAGCGACCAGTTTCATGGGATCTTCCTGTCTACACATGGTTAAAAGCATAAAGAAGACCACAGACTTTCTTCACTATTCCACTTCTTAAGAATCTCCAAGGTGATTTTAAAGCAAAAGCTTAAAGGGGCAACAGAAGTCACTGTAGGCGTGAATTGTAGCCTGTTGACATGAGAAGAAAGAACAGAACACATTCATCAGCTAAAAGTATGGCACAGCCAAACACTGTAAAGGTCATTTCCTTTATAAGTATCCCTCTCCACCTGCCTAGACTATTAGTAGATATCATAATCAATTGGCTGTAAAGAGCAAGCTGTCCTTAAATACAATTTCCAAAAAATAAAATATCTATCTATCTATCTATCTATCTATCTATCTATCTATCTATCTATCTATCTATCTATCTATCTATCATGAAGATAACAGAGAATTCATTCCACATAATAGTTTAATAGTGATACATTCATTGGCAGATATTTGCATGACTAGATGAATTCATTCATACTTGACAATCTGCATGTATATAATTGAGAATATATTTTATGTACTAGGAGAAGTGGCTTTACCTGTAATCTCATATTTGAATGAGGCTGAGGAAACCTTATAAGTTACAAAACTTCCATAGGTCATGTCATATTTTTTAAAAAACAAAACAAAACAAATTGTTTACTCAAGGATCAGAAAGCCCATGCGCGTTCCAAACACCACCAAAAAGAAAAAGGGAAAATCAAAGCAGAAAGAAAATGTCATTTAAAGGTCAAGCTCGAATTGTTAAACAACCAAACGAGGTACAGCCTCTTGTGGCAAGAGTATTAATCTTTGGAATTTTGAAAGGAAAATCGGTAGTTCTGTATGAGCTACAACTATGCAAGCCGTGGGAAAAACATATTAGTTACTAAGGCAACCACAGACAAAGTCCTGATGTGCTTTTCTGGCACCTCTTGGTTTTCATGCAGACTTTGGGCAGGAGAGGTGGCAAGTCAGGCGGCTAGAGTTTAAGTAGTTTAATGAGATTTAAAAGGCGATCGGCTAATAGGAAAGAGATGTTTCGCTCAGCTCGCCTGTCTGGGCTTCCTGTTGCATAGGCTAGGCTACTTATTGATTTCAGGACCCTGGACAGAGATTTCCGCAACCCAAATCCTAAGGAGTTCCTCCGGTCCTGGAAATGGAAATTCAAGGGCGATGCTAAGCATTTTGTGCCCGAAACTTCTTGCTCTCGCTGCTTTTTATCTTTGTATCTATCACATTCACTCAGACAAACACACGCACGCATCTCTTTCACTAGCATCCTCCCTCCTCCCGCCAATGCCTGACAACAGAATGAAATACATACAGAGAATTCCAGTTGCAGCAGCTTCTGCTTCCCATTCTTCCCGGAATGGCTTTGAATGCCTACAGAATTAAGCAGTGGAGGTGGGTTTTTCTATCGCAAGGCAGATTTCAAATTGCACCGTACTCTCTTCACACCCCCTCCCTCTTTCTTCTCCCTGAAGGACAGGAAGCCCAAAGCACCACGAAGGAGAGGGAGGAATGAAAGGGGTGGAAAAGAAAGATACTCCGAGGAGGGAACCAAGTCCCATTTTTCCCTGCGCACACGCACGCTGGATGCAGCCGAGGGTCTCAAATTGGTCGGCAAATCCACCCTATCGGTCATACATCGGCATTTATAATGAAGTCTTGGGTTGGGCTCTTTTGCCTACGATCTTAAGCTCGCTCTGATTAAACTTAGACAGACCTACCTTCGCCCGAATCCAGGACGCAATTCACTCCTGCCTTGGTCAGAAGGTTTATTGCCAATTCTTCTCTTTGCCAGAAGCTGGTAGAGGCAGATGGAAGGAGATGGGCTGTACGCGACTGCCCTCTTTCTTCAACGTGGTTTTACCGCATGAAGCAAGAAGAGGGGGCGGCGGGGGGTGGGGGAAGCTCAGGTCATCCAAGGCTCTTCGGGTATACAAAGATTTGCCATCCTTCCCATCGCCCTTCCCCGGATTTCCCCACTTTCCTCCAGCTCTTTTCTGATCATCAGTTCCCTATATTGTATATCCCAACGGGGGAAGAGCTTGGCTTTTCAAGTACCAGCAGTTCATTACTTCCCTATCAAACAAGCAAGCATCAATATATGAGGAAGAAAATAAGAGGGGGGGGGGAAAGAATTGGATTCAGAAGTGTACATACAGATTTGCTTTTCTTTTTTTACTTTTGTACTTTTATTTGCAATTGAAAATTTAGCTTTTCAAGTACTGGAAGTAAATATTACTCAGAGGAAGAGGGAGGGGGAAGAAGAGGGAGAGGGAGAGGGAGGGAGGGAGAAACCCTGTTGAATTTTTCAAACATTTGAATGAATCAAAATGGAATCCAAATAAGTAGAAGGTGGATTCTTTAAGAATCAGTCTGATAATGTATGTTGGGAGTATGTTTGGTTAAAATAACGCCAAGTTGAATTATACAACTGAAGAGTTTGCTATGCTGATAACATTAGTAGTTTTGGACCCTAGTACAGTGATGTCGAACCTTTTAGAGACCGAGTGCCCAAACTGCAACCCAAAACCCACTTATGCATTGTCGGGTGCCGGGTGGGCGTGGCCCATTGGCTGGGCGTGGCTGTGGTGGTAACGGCAGAATGGGTGGGACTAAAAAGTTCAACCAATCAATTCCAACTTTGCAAGATTTTTTTTCCCGCGAGAAGTTGAAATTGATTGAACCTTTTTTTTTTTTGCACACGGCGGTGGAGGCCTAAAGCGAAAAGGTTTTATAAAACCCAGCTGAAGGCCTAGGACTGGGGTGATGGCACACGTGCCCACAGAGAGGGGTCTGAGTGCCACCTCTGGCACTCGTGCCATAGGTTCACCACCACTGCCCTAGTATTTTCAGTTTATTATAGGAAATCGAAGTTAAAGTGGCATCTTGCTGGAAAGAGCAGACACAGCAAGGTGTCCTAGTTCAAAAGAGGCAGACTCATTTCATGGGATGTAGAACTGTGGTACTGTACTGTTTTACAAGGGTTATCTTCCAGGGTTTTCTTTTAACCTTTGTGATTTTACATTACCTTCTTATAATTGGGATACATCTATTAAAATCTTCATTTAAAATCAACAAAAAATGCATGCATTTATGCCTCTTTCTGTGTGCATGTATGTGTGTGTATATGTGTTTGTCTGTGTGTGTATGTATGCATATTGCTGAGAGAAAAAAGAGTTTTTCTCTTGCCTAAAAGGCACCCATGGAGATGTGCATTTCATAGAAGACCTTTAAACAGCCAAACCTACCGTATTTTTAAAAAGCATCATTGTTGATATTAAATAATATGAGCCAGATTGGCTGAAATACCCACACAACATTTTATGCCTGGAAGACTTACCAACTGTCTATTTTACATCTTCATTTCAATCACTCTGTTCACCTAACATGTCTCTCTGGGTAACTGGTTCCAAAACTTGTTCACTACCAAGGGAACAGCCTACACATAAGCCTCACAAGTTCTATTGCAGAAAAGGGAGGAATCATATGTACCCTCCACTGATGTAAAAACCATCTAAAAGCATATTAGATCATGAAGTTAGTTAGGAAAACTGTTTCAAAACCAATTATTGATTATCCAAGGGTTCAGATGGCATCTAACCATTGATTTCAATTAATTATGCATTCATTCATAAAATTTATATCCTCCATTTCACTATTTAACAACCTCAGATTGTGGATCCAATTGCACTATTTTTTAAAAAAGTCACTAATTAAAAGAATTACAAGAAGACAATGAATAATTCAATCAAATGTTTGTTTTGGAAATTATTTCTCAGTTTTTATATAGTTGTTCCTACAATGTGTTTTAAACTTGATTATTAATCCATCTGTTTTTTAGCCAAATTACAAATTTGAGGAGTCATATACCACCCAGTTGATTGGAGTAGGATATAAGCTGCATAAATAAATATAAATAAAGTATTTCCCCCCTCTATCGGTGTGTATGTATAAAATAGTAATACAGGTAGTTTTTATTTAGTGAACTTTGCAGTTACAACTGATGACAAAAGCAATGTTGTGACCAATCCTCGTATTTGCAACTTTTGCAAGTCTATAAAGCAAAGGAAAGCTGAAGTAAGATCATAATCACAGTCTCAGTTTCATTTAGCAATCGCTTTGCTTACTGACCAAGTTACCAGTCGCAATTGTGCTTTCTAAACAAGGACTTCCTGTACCATCAAAATGGAAATATGTTGCATTATCCCTTAAAGAACTGGATGGATATATAGATACATATTAAGATAGCACTGGAATCTGTTCAATCAAACTAAGAATACCATCTTTTGGGTCACACAAAAATTATTGCTAGCAGATGTGGCACCCTCTAGAGGGCTTTTCTACTAGATTTTTAGTTAATAATCAAGTATATAATGGAGCTGATGCTTCACCATATATTTAGATCCTAATAATTTTGGGTTTTTCTATAACCAGTATAAGCATTTGGCATAATATATTTGTGGCACGTTTCCCCTTTCAGAAATCTAATTGGAGAATTTGCACTCTCTCCAGCTTCCAGTCTATATAGCACATTGCAATGTTCTAAACCTGACACTGCCAAATGCATAAATTTCAGGGGATCACTTATTCCACAATTGAGGAATCAACCAGTTCTAGGCTGAAAACTATTTGTGCCAATAAATAAATAATAATGCTAATAAATGCTTTGGTACACTTTGGAGTACTTGTTGATAATACAATCTGGAGTACTTGTTGATAATACCAAACCAGGTAATTTTCCTAAATTCTGGACAAGAGAACTGCCTGTCCACAGTTCACATTTCATCAAATTGGTATTATATTATTATTTGATTACTATTAAATTATTTAAAATTATTATTGACCCCTTTTTAGAATACCACTATATCCAGACACCTATGCAGGAACTGCATAGGTTCTTCTGGCTCCATGACATAGAGAAATAGAATTGGGATTCATCACCACTTTCATCAAATTTTATTCCAAATTTCTTGATCACTGTTCCCAAGGGCTTTATGTGGCTTTCTGAGAGATTTGGGGCAAAAAGGAACACT